CAGCACTGATGCACATTTCACCATTTATATAACTGCATGCAGAACAGCACCAGCCACATGAGCTTGTGTGTGGAGCAAAATCAGTGAATCGAGTCTGCTCTGACATGCTGGATCTTCGGCACATCAGGGCAGGCAAACGTATGTGTATAAATGCCCATCTTCTCTACTAAAAGAACTGCACCCCTATGTTGCAATTGGCATGGGCAATAACTTGAGGGCAATATGCTGAGAAACCAAACCAGAGCTTGGTTCTGTTCCCTTGGTAACAGAACTTCCATTCATGTACCAAATCTGGTACGGCATTTCAGTGAAATGTAGCCCCTCTCCCCCCAAGAAGCATTGCAGAATGTTGGAAATCAAGAAAAACTAGACAAGTCTCAAGGGAAGAAATGGGCTGGTCAACATCTAAGGACCAAGAAACTCATATACTGGCTTGGGGTATGCCTGCGAAGTACCGGTTTGTATCTGTTTGATTTTACACAAATTAGAAGTGCACCAATATAAAGAAAATTGGTTGTATTGGAAATCAGCCTGATGCAGTCAGTAATTTGGCTGGTAAATGCCCATGCGTGTGTGCAGCTTCAGCACAGCACGCAGGCAGCGAGGAACACAGCTTGGCAGCTTGGAGAGCACTGTGCAGCTGGTAAGTCTGTTGTGGTGGAAGGGGAGGGGGAAGGGAAGGGAAGGGGCATGGGGGGAGTGGGCAGATCAGCGCCCCTATGGTGAGAGAGAGAGTGGGGCAGGGGCTGGGGCAGACACTGCCCAGCTGGGGCAGGGCATGGGATGGAGCCGTGGCTCACCTGGGTGGTGCAGGGGAGGATGTGCTTCTGGTCTGCATGGGGCAGAATGGGTGAGCTGCAGCTGCTCTGGGCTCTTTTCTGTGGGGGCTGGGCTCAGGGTGGGCAGTGGTGGCCTGGAATTGGGGCTACAGGGGGAGGCTGCAGCCACCTCAAATTTTGCTGCAGCCACCCCATAATCCCCCTCCCAGTGCTGCTGCCACCTGCCTGGAGCACAGCCCTGGCTCAACGCCCCGCCTCCACCCACATGCTGGGAAGAGCTAGAGCTGCGCTGGGCAGGTGGCAGTGTCACTGGGAGAGGGGTGTATGGGGGGGGGCTATAGTGAAATTTGGGGTGGCTGCAGCCTCCTCTGTAGCCACACTCCCAGCAGTGCCACCACCCGCCCTGAGCCCAATGCCTGCTAAGAAGAGCCCAGTGCAGCCTGCAGCTACAGCCTGCCCCACCCCCCTGGCCCCGCACAGACCTGGGGGCATACATTCCCCCCCTCCCCCCACAGCTTTGTTCCATTTCCTGCCCTGCCCTGGCTGGGCAGCATCTACCTTAGCCCCTGCCCCACTCCATCCCCTCACTGCAGGGGGTGTTGATCTGCACCTCCCACGCCCCTTCCCTCGTACCACAGCAGCCTTACCAGCTGCACGCAGCTGTATTGGAAATAGAATCAGTATTGGCCAATATACCGTCTTAAAAATTGCTGTTGGTATTGGCCCCCAAAATCTCTATCGGTGCATCCCTAATACAAATCCCAGCTAATCATTAACTTTTTTAATAAGAAGACTGACATTTCCAGTGAATGAGAATTTGTGCACCTACTAGCATCTTTGTACCTAGCAGGAACATTTGGAGAAAGCTTAGAGGATTCCAGAAAACCAGCCCTCTGTTACATACAACAGATTTAGTACAATTGAGAGATCCCTGTAGAACTCAGCTAACATTAATTTCCTTGCTTTTAAGACCTCTGACTACCGTGATATCATGTACCCTGCCTGGACGTTTTGGGAAGGGGGGCCAGCTGTGTGGCCAATTTACCCAACAGGCCTGGGGCGCTGGGACCAAATGAGAGAGGATCTCCGAAGGTAGGTCTCAGGAGTCTTTTTTTTTTAAACGGGAAAATAAGCCCTTGAACATAACTGGGCAGTGGCACCTCTAGTATTAGTGCAACCTAGCATATTACCATCAAAGCCTTGGTGTAGGGTCTGCTTTCCTGCATCCACATCATCTTATGCTCTGATTTGCTGGCTCCCATTCCATGAGCTAAACAAGGTTGCAGTATTGGATGTGAGTCTTCCACGTGTTTCCAGCCTCTCAGCAAGGAATGTTAAAGACCAAATATATTTACTATGGGGTGAGAGCCCAGGCCTTCACAGTTAGTTAATGTAAGAGTTCCCATCAACTTCATTTAGGCAGGTTAGGTCAGTAAAGCAGCGGTTTTTTAACTGTGATCTGCAGAGATCTAGCACGGCATGTGGTGCAGACTCTGTTTCCAGCCACTTCTGCAGTAACCCAGGCTCTTACTGTAGTGGTGAATCTGGGTGCCAGTAAAAGCAGCTGGGGAAGAGAAAGAGGAACCCTTATACCTGCCTCCTGCTACACCAAAGAAGAAACAGGAGCTGCCCTCTGGCTTGAGAGTCATTATGGGACTAAGGCTAAGTAGCAGGACCGGAAAACCAGGGAGTCTTTCCTTTGTCAACCTAACAAGGGCTGGTCTTTCTTAGAAGTATAGGCAGGTGAGCAAGTCTATAAATACTATAGGAAGTGACATTTCAAAGCACAGACCCGTTAGTATTTGGACTCTCAAAGTTTCAGACATTAGTTGAAGCTCAAAATGTAGGGTTTTTTGTTTTCTTAATTATGAGGGGATACAAAAATACCATTTCTGGAATGCCTAAAGTTGTGCTCTGTGTGTGCTGGTGAAAACAGTTTTAAAACAATTTTTCTGTCTCCAAAAATTGCCAATTGGTTCCAATTGAGCAGATGTTCACCTGTCCAGGGACTGTGTTTGCATCATTGGGGTGCAATGTGGATGCAGGGATCCACCTGCACAGATCAGATTGTAGGATTAACACCTACATTTTAGACAAGACAGCTCTTGTGAGAAAATAGGCAAGGGATTGCAAAAGAGAGATGGCAAGGATTACAAAATTTAAGGTTGTGGGGTAAGAGTTGTGTCATTCACATCTTTTGATGGGTATGTTCATGTACATGTAGACACATGGGTACACACGTGTGCCATATGGGATTATAAAAATTATTTTCATAATGGTTGACTCTTTTTAAATTAAAATGAAAGTTGCCTATATAAACATTAGCTGTAGTGTTATCACCTTACGACCAATGTTTTGCTGAAAAGTAGGCAGTAGGAAACATAAAGGTCTAGAAACTGCCTAGACTAGTTCCATTAATTGCTTAGTGAAAGGGGGAAAAATAAAGTAGCAGGAAAATTAGTGAAAAGTGGAATAGAGTTTTTAAATTGCTGTACACTTTCATTTACTGTTTTATTAATAACAGGCAAAAGTTTACTTTACATGCATGTATACCTTGTTATCTTGACAGTATCCTTACAAAGTAGCCTGTAATATTTTGGCTAGAGAACAATGATCTATGGGAAAGCCCATTTTGTTGGCCTTAAATGAGATACTTTCATACCATGAAGAAGAAAGTGGCCCAGCAAACCTGAATAGTAATAGAGAAGACTAGCCTGTAGAAGACTATAACCGCACTTTCATGATTATGTCTAAAAAATGTTTCCAGATCTGCAGAAAAATGGCCCTGGAAGGAAAAGCTCTCCAAAGGATATTTCCGAGGATCCAGGTGAGTCCATTTTCCAATTCAGGGATATGATGGCTACATGGGTTGCAAACAATACCAGCTAAATCAAAACCAAAGTCGGGCTGAGGCATTAACCTTTTATTTCTGGAGACCTTTTAAGTATTGCTTGTTTCAAATAGATGCAGAGGTTGTAAATGTTCAAACAACATATACAGTGTCCTGACATTTCATGTTACTTGTGGAAGATATGGCAAACCCTGTAGTGAAGTGAAATAGTGCAGCATGGCAAATATTGCTCGATTTTCTTAGGCCACAGCTATCTTGGTCCACATCCTGGGGAAAAAACCTGACACAGTTTGGCACGATTAGTAGTTTCTGAGATTCTTACTGAATTGTTAAGAAAGGGAAACCTCTTTGGCTTGAGGGGTTGCTTCCTGGGGAAGCATTTACAGCATTTGTTGCTGGTGCTCATGAATTTGCCACTCCAAATACTAAACAAAAAAATTAACTCAAAATACTGGTTTTTATCAATAAAAAAATGTCACCCACTTTGTATTCCATCACAAATCTAGGTAACGAATGCTATTTGTAAGTCATATAGTATAGTAAAATAAATATAAGAAATCCATCACCCCTTGTGGTTATGCACAAGTATTCAGCTATTTTAGTTCTCATGCAGACCATTTAATTGATTAAAAAGAGGTTTCTTTCAGCAGCATTTACCTTTCTTTGCAATGGGAACCATAGGGTATGCATCAGAAGGTTTCTTTTATCCCTGTAGCTTTTTTTTGCCCATTTGTATGATCTGTTCTCTATCAAAGTGCTCTTCAATGACTCAATGGGTATTCTTACAGCAGTGATACTTGAATGGTGGGGAGTGAGGAAAAAGGTAGATGGCTTTTTCTATCCCTTGCAATGTTCACATGACAGCAGTACTAATTTTCCCTTCTTTCTTCTATTACTCATGTTTATAGATTATGTGGTGAGAAATACAGTCCTGATAATGTATGACTATCACTAGTATATTCAGGGGATGAAGAATGAAAGATTTGGGACAGGTCACAGCTTTGTAGTATGTTAAAATAACTTTTAACAAAAAATATGTGAAAAGATGTTAAGCTTCTCTCAACTTTCATTGTTTTATGGGTAAATTGAGGCTTTGAATCAGGCTTTGAAAAGACAGCTGTTGCTGATTTGTTCTGAATAACGTTTAAATAGTATAGGACTTAAAAGAGGTGAAGGTATATCGCTCAGAATTATTCCACTGCCTCCATAACTGTATGAAGATGAAGAGCAGCACTGACTGATTCCAATGGTTTTTCTGTTGCAGAACAAGTCCTGAGAGAGATCCCCTTATTCTTTTGTCTCGAGAAAACCCTGAACTCATTGATGCAGAATACACAAAAAACCAGGCCTGGAAATCTGAAAAAGTAACCTCGAACAAGCCAACTGGATAAGCAGCCTAGAAAGCAACAGATAAGAAAGGGCAATGCCAAGTAGTTTATGTACAGGTTGATTTGTGTGAGACTGGGGGTTTCCGTTGCTGTCTAATGGTGGGATTGATTGGTTCCCTCTCTACTCAGAGGGGTTTAATAGTAGGAATAAGTAATAACCTGTTGCATGTTTACTTTTTTCCTAATGGCCATGTTTCCTAATGGCCAGTATCACTGAAGCATCCAAAGGGACCCCAAACTATGATCTGACCCAGGGCTATCCTATTGGTAGCCTGCAGGGCTTGTTGGGAAAGTTGCTGGAACTGCTGTGTTGGTGCAGCTCTGGGATGCAGGGGTGAAGCCCCACTGCTCATTGCACCTAACTTCTTTCCTGCTGCAGAATTTAGGGTCTTTAGTGCCCATCGGTGACTAAAATTGGTCAGTGGGTGTTGGTCATCCAGGCTGTGAGAAGCATTGTAGTCTGATCTGGCCTACAAAGCCAGATTGAGTTGAAACGCCTGCTTTGACCTCAGGAAACACACACATGTCTGGGGCAGTAGGGGAGTGCCTGGGGATCCTGTGGCCTGTGCTGTTACAGCCCCTGTGGCATGTAGCCACCACTGGTGCAGCCCATAGGGTGTGGTCACTAAGAAGTTGGTCAGCCC